ACAAATCTCTACAGAGTTCCTTTACCTTGAAGCTCTCTGTAGCTCTTCAGGCGAGCAAATGGTCAAAATGACTGCTTCCTCAGTTAAGAGGCCTGTCTGCTCTCAGGGACTCCATACCAACCGAAGAGATCTCCTTCCTGCTGCAGGGAGTTCTTATCACCTCTCTTTTCCCCACCCCTTGACCAGGTCAGGTCAGAGAAGCATTTCCTGAGGTTTCTTCCTGGAGATTTTTTCTGGATCCATTCTAGTATAAAGTCCTCCAAGTCTCTGTTCCCTGGCTGGAGAAGGGGGGAGGGACTTGACCCACTCCACTGTCTCTAGCTAGATCTATTAGTTAGATCTATGAGCGTTTCTCAAGAGGTAGTTGTCAAGAGTCAGACTCCCTTCGACAGATCTGACGAAGAGGGTTTTGACTCTCGGGAGCTCGTACTCTGAAAATCTTGTTAGCCTTGAAGGTGCTTCTGAACTCGAACTCAGCTGTCCTAGTGCAGCTGCCCTCTGAAGCACAGGGCTGCCTATTACCCAGGTCGGTGGCCTTCTTGATCCCTGGGAGAAGCATCCACCAGGTGCCGAGCTTCACACTCGCCATCCTTCCCAGGGGGTGGGAGAGGCAGAGTGCCTCTTCCGGCAGAGTTCCCTTCTGCTGGGAAATAACGAGGTCCCCCCAGAGGCCCGTTGAGCCACGCTGTGCCCTCGGGTGGGCTCCCTTGTCTCTTTGGCTGCTACTCAAGGGACCGTGGCTCAGTGGCAGAGCCTCAGCAGGCAGAAAGTCCCAGGTTGGATCCCCGGCGACTCCAGGATCTGGCAGTAGGTGAAACTCAAAGACCCCTCTGCCCGAGACCCTGGAGAGCCGCTGCCAGTCTGAGTCAGCAGGCCTGACTTTGAGGGACCGAGGGTCTGACGCAGTACAAGGCAGCCTCACGTGCACAAGTGCTCTTCTCGCAGGCCCGTAGCCAGGATTTTTTCAGTCGGGGGGGGGCATTTAAGTTTCTTAGGGGGCACTGGCTTATCGAATCAAAGGTAATTAAAGTTGAAAAGGCTTTCTGGGGGAAATAGAGAGGGGCTGTCTGGCTCCGTGCTGCCACCGTAGCCGGCCCTTCGCACCAAACAGCTGTGCAGGGATTCCCGGCTCCTTCCCCATGCTCGCCGCCGCTCGGGGGGCCTAGCCCCAAGGTGCCCCACTGTAGCTATGGGCCTGTCTTCTTGCCCAGGAGGGCACCATGCATTGGCCGCTCCCTGTCAAGCATTGAGTAGTAGTAGTGGTAGTAGTAAAATGTATTGTGTAGCCATTGGCCATTACAATTTTAAAACAATATACGAATGAGATAACTTACAGCACTGGAATCTGAATTGGATTTAAAATGTAACAGTGTTCCCTCTAAGCTGAGTTAGTGTGAGCTAGCTCACAGTTTTTTAGCCTCCGGCTCACACATTTTGGTCTCCGCTCAGGAAGGATGGCTCCAGAGCAAACTAATTTATGCAGCAGCCAAATCGCTCGCTCACAACTTTAACGCTGGTAGCTCACAAAGTAGGATTTTTGCTCACAGGTCTTCACAGCTTAGAGGGAGCATTGGTAACAACCTCTAAAACATCTGCACATTCAGTATTTAAATTAATTAAAATCTTAAGTAAAGAAACCCATCTCCAGAAACACATACACAGCCTCAAACATTGCCGTTTTACAGGTCAATTTCATTTGCCTGTGTTCTTGGCCCTGATTTTACGAGCCACTAAGGCGAAGAGTGCTACCCTATAGGAAACCGTAGGGTCTGCATCTGACAGCAGAAATATTAATTTATCGATGTCAGGAAATGTTTACAATTGATCTATTATTGCAGTCAAGAGTTTACATCTCGGTTCCCAGTGCAACGGGCAGACCATGACATAATGAAAAAGACCCCCCACGGATGTTTTACAGATACAAATACGCTGTTCCTGGGGTATTTTTAAGTATCGTCCCAGGAGTAATTCTGTTGGCATAGTCTGGAAACGCGATGCTGCAAATGTCCGGCATTGAGGCTTGCTCCTAAACGGCGTTTGCTTGCCCCGCGAGCCAGCCACCACAGGGTGAACGGAGAAGGGACTCGGAAGTGGCACTCGGAGGGGAGAGATCGCTGTCGTCCCCAAGGACACAGCCCGAGGGTGGCAGTTTCCCTCTGATCTCCTGGGAAACGGTAGGGACAGATCTGGAGGAGGGAAGACGGCATGTTCCGCAGTCGAGGCACAGATGGATTGACAGCGTATGAGGGGGAGGGAGTGCAAACAGTCCCTTGGCCTCGGGGTGGGGAGAGGAGGAGGAGAGAGTATGGCAGATAGTGGGGTTTTTTTGGGGGGGGGGTTAAATAGGATTGTTGCCACAGTGTCCCAATCATGTTCCTCTTGAGCACTATGTAATTGTCAAAAAAAAAAGCCCTGCTAGAGTCAGCCTCTCCGCACCTGGCTTACCTCGTAGGGTTGTTGTGACGGTCGAACAGTGAAGGGGAAATGACACACAGTGCCCTGGGGGAAGTATGGGATAAAAATATTCTAGATGGGTGGATGGGTCACCACAAGGCTTGATTCACGTGCTGGCCATGTGGGAGCGAGTGGGGTGGAGAGGAGGAGATTGGATTTATACCCCGCCCTTCACTACCATCGCATCTGGCACCCATCGCATCCCACCGGATGTTTTCTTGTAAGCCTCCATGGTATGCGCACAAACGTGCACACGCACAAATGCATTACTGCTTCGTTGCCACGCTTCGCCATCACCGTGTGATCGGCGGCTGACGGCCTGAGCACCAAGCCTCGGGGGAACGTCGGATCGTGATACCGCGCTTCATTTTGCTCTGGAGCAAAAAGCCTCACTTCCCCCACGGATTATCTCGCTCGTGTGACCGGGGCCTTGGACTAGTATTTGTGAGACCTCAGTTCGAATCCCATGGAAGTTTGCTGGGTGACTTTGGGCCAGTCACACCCTTTCGGCCTAACTGACTGTTGTAAAATGGAGGGGAGGAGAGCGGAATGAGCTGCTATGGGTCCCCATTAAAGAGAAAGGCGGGGGGAGGGAGGGAGAGAGAAGGAAGGAAGAAAAAGAAAGAAAGAAAGAAAGAAAGAAAGAAAGAAAGAAAGAAAGAAAGAAAGAAAGAAAGAAAGAAAGAAAGAAAGAAAGAAAGAAATGGCGGTTATAAAGAGGTGGCAGGATTACAGCCGCACTCCTTGGAGGGGGCTAGCGCAGAACAGACTTCGGGATCCTCCCCCCCTCGCGTCGGGACCCACGCCTTCTCTCCCTCCCACCGCAGATCTACCCCAGCCCCATCATCAGTTCCAATGGGCCCGGCGACGATAAACTCTTCCGGAGCCAAAGTGCGGATATGGAGATGACGACGGAAAGGGAGCGGGTCAAGAAGATGCTCTCGGAAGGGTGAGGAGCAGATCCGGATCTGGTGTGTGTGTGTTCAAGCACATTCGCAGGGGAACGGCCCCTGGATTTGTCAACGGCAGCTAGGGTTTGCTACTGCCAAGAAACACGAGCCTGGACAATGTCAGCGCGTGGCCTTTGCACTCCAAAATAGTTTCCAGCATGGGGTGGGTTACAATTTTGCCCCTGCCCCATAGCTGTCCATAGCTGGTTGGTTAGGCTCAGCAGCATAACAAAAAAGAATGACAACAAAACCTCCAAAACTGAATGTCAGTAGCTTCGAGACCAAGCTTGGAGATGGAGCTGTATGTGGAAAGGCTGAGGGACTTAAGAACATAAGAGAAGCCAATGTTGGATCAGGCCAAGGGCCCATCCAGCCCGACACTCTGTGTCACACAGTGGCCAGAAATACCAGGTGCCTTCAGGAGGTCCAGCAATGGGGACAGGACACTAGAAGCCCTCCCACTGCTGCCCCCCCCCCCCCCACCACACAAAAAACACACGACCCCCCACCCAGGAAC